AAAATAGGAGTAAAACTCTAGTCATAGTATTGAGCAACTAAGTGGGACTAATACGATATTACAAGGTTGTACTCTGCTGAGACCTAATGGTCAATTTGCTAGTAATAGTGTACTCGCTGCTGGGCGCGTAAGATAACACAGCTGAACACATTGTCAGGCGTTACATGCTGGCTTTGCCAGAGGAATGTCTTCAGATGAATGCATGACAAGCCGAGCCAGCTGGACCTCTGCAGCAGCATGAAGGTATATCCCTGAGAGAAAGGAGGTGAATCTGAGCAGAACCGACAGAAAAACTCTCTTTTTGTTTGAGTGAGTCTGCTGCCACACCAGGCGACCACAGCGCTGCTGCAAATGGATGAACTGAATCAAACCTTTATTACTTTTACTGAGTTTCTAGATCCTCCCCCCTCAGCCATGTTTGATGGCTAATGCTCTTCTTTCTTAGTATCTTTTTATTATCTTTTTATTATTTTTTTTTCAAGTTTTTTAATTAGAGTTTTAGACAACGGGGTCTTTTACCATCAAGGAATCTCCTGGCCTGTTTTTGTTGGGTTCTGAGGAGCCTTGTGCCCCTCTCTGTAATTACATCATAAATCATGAGAGGATTCTTTGTACTGCTGTCGTCCTTTATACCTTCCACATAATCTCATTATGCATATTTGCCCATGTGACTAATTTCTGATGTGAAATCCCCTTTTCAAGAGTTTCTCAGAGCAGATGAAGTACAATGACTTAGGAAGGTGCTATAATACAGCCTCCTCAAAGAAAATAATATGAGGCATTACAGTAAAGCTGAGATGATGTCTCCAAATGCTGTTCAATAAAAAGTAATAAGAGGATTATTAACTGGCAAGAGGAACCTCCAGTCGTGACTTATCTGCTCATGAGGGAAAGAGTGTGAGATTTCTAAAGGACTGTCGTTGTCATCCCTCTCCTCTTTCTCTTCTGTTTAACCTCTGAAGCACACAAGGTATTTACTCCAAATATGCTCATGTCTCATTAGCATGGGGCATGCATCCAAGAATCAACATGGATTATCCTTAAATTGCTCAGTGGTTCAACTACAGGAGACCCTTGGGTAGCCTGAAACTTACTGGCTCTGACGTTTCCTGAAATTCCTCAAACCGAGGATACATAGAGGAGGTCAATATTGTCTGCAGGAGTGTGCTGAATGCAGTCTAATGTATCTCTTTAAAAGCCCGCGCCTCTGAAAATATATTCTGCTTTGCTCTCATCTTAATAACACAAGCACAACATGGCATTCCCATCTGTCTGATCGACTTAAAGTAAAGCTCAAATTATTCCATCTCTCTGCGCCGGATGGACTGTGGACATACTGCTTTTAGCAGTTAGTGCAGTATGTTGCTTCCTCTCTTTACTTTAAAGCTTTCACTCTGATTAATGACGGAGTCGAGTCCTCCCCTCGCTTTCCTCTCCAGAAGCAAACCAGTGTCAACCATCCTTCATGTCCTCTCCACCCTGCGCTGCTCTTTTTTCCCGCACACAGGGCCACAGAGCCTCGGGGGGGGGACAAAAACAGGTAGTTTAAAAAGTATGCTGGAAAACCATTCACATCTTTCAACATGTCAGGCCCCTCTCTTCTCAGTGTTCATACATGTTTGTGGTCATTAAATTCGACAAACCACGTCATGTGTGATTTTTGTCTCATAATCCAGGTTTATTATCCAGGTGAAAATTCCAGAGGAATGAGACTTAACTTGTTCATCATTTGGGAATGTTATGGATGGGTTCAGATGAGTAAAACCATTCTGAACAAAAATGTGACTCAATAAGCAACAGAAACAGAACAATATCAGTGTGTTTGCAAGTCTTCCCTCTCCGTCACTCCTTTGATTTGTTCCCTTTGAGCAGATTTGAGCCAATCTGATTAATGAGGACCTCTCTCTCCTCATTAGCAGCCCTGTGTACACCACACTCACACACCCTGTCACTAATTTATTCTCGTAAACTGCTCTTCTTCCTCTTCTCTATGTTTTCTCACCCACTCCATTACTCTCTTTGTCCTCTGACAAATCATCCACCCTCTTTGTTGCTAAGGATGAAAACCTCTTGGAAAACAGGCTCTGATACATTTATTATTGTAGTTTGATTATAATGATCATCCTCATTAAGCAGGTTTTGATGATTCAATGTGGACAAATTGGCATCTAGGCTGAATGAAGATGATAATATGAATCAAACAATAGATCTGCACCATATGATTTATATGAGCTCTTTTTACTTTGCACAGCAAAATACTTTATTTACATACCAATCAATGGATTCTTGCACAATAAAGGTCTGTATGAGTCATGTGCTGGTGCATGCTGGACCATGCAACATTTCCATTGCATAATAAAGCAGATACGAGCACACTTTCTTCTTCAAAGCCCATATGTCGGTAAATTAGACCCCCTGTATTTGCACCACTCCGTAAATTCACCATCTGAATGACTCACTTCAATGACAGGTGGATACCTATTTACGCTTTTCAATTTGTGATGGCACCTGCTGTTCTCATTAAAAAATCAGATCCACAGTGATGTATCCATGATTTATTCGCCTCTCTCTCAGTGTGTGTCACTCCAGGTCCTGGCCTTCAGCGCAGACTGTAGCCCCTATGAGCAGTAAGAGTAAACACTTTGTTCTATTACTGTCTTGCCCAAACAACCTATTAAATGTTAATCATGTAGGGCCACACCTCGTTGCACAAACTAATACAGTCATTACTTGCCCACATTTCCGTTGTGTGTGTGCTGTAGCCCTCTTTGAATGTTATGTTCACAAATATCACTGTGAGTTTATTTCCATAATACATCAGCCACTGGACACTCTGGTGTGGAAGAAGGTCCAAGTCCCCTTATCAGCACTGATAAAGCCTGTTGAGGAGGCCAGCGACTGTTTTTCTGGTTATGTATCATTAACCAGCACACTGCCCATAAGCATCTGCCCCAAACAAAACAGGCCATACTGCTTCATCTTCCTCCTCTTCTTCACACATCTGACACAAAGCTCAGAGTATTCCTCCTAACGACTGGAAACTGTGTCACCGCCCCAGCCAGAACAGGCCCGGAGGTTCGTAGTCAGTATGTTCAGATCCGTGCCACGTGATGAAATGGACACGATGAAATGATTGTTAGAGACCCCACTCAATTGACCATGAAAATAATAGCAGTGATGATGATGATGATTTTTCCTGATGGGGGCTACAATCAAGGAAGTAATTTTGAGCGTGTCGTGGACTGTGCCAAAAGCCCACCAAGAAAAAAACAAAAAAGAAGAGTTGTTTGATTAATGGAAAACTGGACAAACAGCTTTATGCTCTCAACCACCCAAAAACTGATTGTGCCAAACAGTGATTTGTTGATTCAACTGTCCACCTGGTGAGATTATTTAATCATTTCATTGCGATTACGTTGGCAGGAACGGTCCGGACAAGCTGCTGTTATGGTCAAGTTTCAGGCTTCCACTCCGCCCCATGGCTTCGATGTTAGGCTGCCTTTTTTTTTTAATTTCTGCTTATATGCTGAAGAACGAGTTGTTGTGTCATACAAAGATTTTAAAAGTCACGCAATAAATCAGTGAGCTTTGACGATAAAGACTTGTGTGTATGATACAAACACACCCGACCTTCAGGGACCACAAATCTCTCTTTTTAATTATCTGCAGACCTTTGAATTGCATT